GGGATTCCCGCACACATTGGGGAATGTGATACCATGACCTGAGGGCATTGAAACACAGATTCGCACTGGAGGGCTTAGTGGGTTGTCGGCTTTTGAAATCTTACAGCGTCTTTCCTCCTCCGTGGAGAGAGATCGTGGGCTTTTTGAGAGATAAACTGCTTCTCTGTTGCTGCATGGCACAGGGATAGTGAGATTCGATACCTGAGGGCTTGAAGATGGTGGTGAGCTGGTAGCTCTTTGACAGCTCGTTCGTACATGGCACGTCTTTGTCTTCTCAGAGACCTCTGCCGGTGGGCTTGTTGGTTGGTTGGCTGGTTCCATGACCCTTTCGCGGTCGTCTGGCACTTTGGATTCGATGCTGCACATACCAGAATCATTGATGGGTTCCAAGTTACTCTGTGGGCTCGTGGGCTCTTGTGGGCTTTAGCTGACAAAACGGGGAAGAACGGGAAGCAAAAAGGCGAGGACCTGTACTTGGCAGCACATGCTACAAACATGTGTTTACACATTTACAGCCTTACCCAGTCTGTGTTTTCGGGGGTCATATGGTTCATCGTCGTTTCCTGTTCTTCTTTTCCGTCACATTTGTCATTGCTTCTTCCTGAGGGGTTTCTAAAGAGGGCTATCCAAAAGTTGGTTTTTCTGTTGGGATTTTCCGGTACAATCACGGGGTCACCTGGGGGGGCAGGCACTTAAAATGGGTTTCGGGTCCTTTTCTTTTTTTCCTCATATTAGCATTTTGTTTGCGCCTTTTTCTCTTTTTTACGATACATCATCGACATCGACGACGGCGTAACGGTACAGAACACGGGTGATCCTTTCTTATAATGAGACGTTTTGCCCGGTAAGTAATCTGATACTCTTCCCCCTGTTTCATATACCCAAGTTCTCCAAACGGGACTAGAAGTAGCAAGAAAGAAGTACTATTCAGTTAAAAACTTTGGTGTTCCCTTGATGTGACTTGATGTTTCCCTGGTGGTGTGATACTTGTGAAGCCTGGTTTTTGAATCTAATCAGATTCGAAGTTTTCGCTCCCTGGGGCTTTCACTGAGGTAGTTCTCAAGTTCAGATGAGCACAATTATATCGGACTCAGTGTAGGTTGTTCGGGGAACAACGGTAGTCGCAAGAAAACACGTTCTTGGACTTAAAGCATATTTCCACTGGCAAGTGGTCTAGCTCTAGGGCGTTGAGTTACGGTAGATAGGTGGTGCGTGGAGCGGAGGGAGTGTGTAGTGTAGGAAAACAACATGCTTGAAAGATCACAGCTCGGTTACGATAGATTGCTGCTAAAATGTTACAAAAGTAGATCTCAAGTTGAACTTCATGAACCTCGATTCTTCTCCAACCAAGTATCCTATCACAACGTGAGCTAGCTAGCTAAAGTCAAAACCAAAGCAACCAAAACTCCCCTTATCCCAAACGAAGATACAAACAAGGCATGGTACCGAAAATGAGGGGTGTGTGTCTCCCTTGGAGGAAGAGTACTATCCATGACCTTGACCTGAAGCCAGAGAGAGCCAAGCCGGCTAACCAAAAACCGAATCCTGAAAAAAAGAAGAGTTGAAAGAAGAGAAAACGCGAAGAAAAAGATGGCAGATTAAGAAGGTAAATGATGTGTGTATGTGTCCCGTGGTGTGCGTCCCTGTTTTGCCAGGTATGCCTTCCGAGATCCTCCATCGGAAGTCCCATCTGGTGGGTTGTGTACTGCTGATCGAATATATATGGCGGTTTTAATTCCCGTCGAAACCGTAGTTGGTAGCAGCCACTTCTGTTACCGTTAGTGCTTCAGTGGATGATTGATATTCATGAAGCTTGTGCCGTTTCATGGCATGCATGTCAGTTAAGTGGCTGGCCAGGAGTTCTGTTTGCCCTCCTTTTTCATCTGGCTTCGATTTCAATCGATAGACAAGCCATCATCAAGTCGTAACGCGTCCCCGGCGCCTTCTCACGTACCACACTAAGCAAGGTACGCTATGTAGGTAGAGCCCCCCTGCGTTCTGTGTAGCCGATACGGTGCGGGTTTCATTCATTTATTCATTCTCAGTTGCGTCGAGAGGTTCAAGCAACGACACTCTTCCCAACCGACCCCCATCTAAACCTCTTCAACGTTCCGCTCGTCGTAGACCGCACAAACTCCTGGCCGCAGCTCGAAGAGGCGTTTGACGCGGCTGATCCCGCGGAGGCCAAGCTCAGAGCGCCGCAGCTCTCTTGCCGGCCGACTTCACGCCCAATGACGTAGCCGGCGCCGAAGCCCACGACTGAAACGAGAACTACCACGCCGGCACTCACTACCCACGTCAACATGGTTGGACTTAGGAAGAAGGGGGAGGCAGCATCGTTATCCGATGCAACTCCCGCCGGACAGGGTGAGCTTGTCCTCCTCTTCTTCGTGGTGCGCACTGGTCTTTGAGCGGTGTTGGTTCCTCGCTTGCTTCTTTGTGCTGTGGCAAGATCTTGCTGTTGCTGCTGCTGTTGTTCACGGCCAGAACTGGCAGATCTCGGAGCGCTTGGCGCGCTGGAATTGGAAGCGGTCCTGGCTGGTTGTCGTGTCTTGGTCTGGTTGAGCGGCAGTCCTACTCCGGAAGGGCCTTCGACCATAAGTTCAGACTCTGGCACAAGGCGGAACTCCATGGGCTGGGAACTAGGCATTATGCCGGCGCCAGCAGGACCCGGGCTTGCCTCTTCCCGCTTGGGAAGGCCACGGGCAGCGGCAGCGCATGACAAGAGGGTGGTGAGGGAAGCACGAAGCGCGGCGTCGTTGTCGGCTTGCAGAGCTGGAGACATGAAGTTGTGCGATGCGCGATGCGATCGCGTCTGCGAACGGGTCGGCAGAGATGGCCGGGATTGGGTGGGATGGTATGGGTGAGATGGACTGGCGGAATGGTGGCGGTGCATCATGTAAGATGGTGGGTGAGAAAAGGCGTTCGGCTGCGGCCTGAAGGGCCCCTGGGCCGTGTCGGTCGGGCGACCGAGAGCAGTCGCATTCTCATCATCATCCGAGTCGTCCTCCGAGCCCACCGGTAGACCGCCTCGGAAGGCAGTCTGTTGACGGGGCAAACTGGCTGCCGGATGAATCCCTTCTGTCGAACTGGTCATGACTCTGTCCTCCTCGCTCTCGGACTCATCATATTCATCCTGACTGCTCGTCCCGGCAGGGGGATTCGGTTGGCTGACGATGAAGGAAGCAGGCATCGGTGCTTGCTGTTGGGAGCGTCTCCGTCTTCGAGGGTACGAGTTATTGCCCACTCGGAGGCCTGTAGTTACTATATCATCCGCTATCGACGACAGCGAGGATGACGATGGTTGCGACGCGATCTCGACCCAGGAATCTAGTGGTGATGTGAGCGCGTGTTGCGGTAAGTTGTCGGAGATGTTGGAAGTCAACTCACCATCGTTACGGCGGCCATCCACTGGGCGTTGTTGAGGATCTGGGGAAGCCATAGCAGAACTCCGGAGGCAGGACACGTAGACGAGGTTCAGGTTGGTAGTACCGTTTAACGTGAACAAGGCAAAGTCCACTCGGGCAGTGCTCACCGACAAGGTGAACTTGATCAAACCACAGTCCCCGAAGTAGGTATGTCCAGGGAACCAACGACTCCCGCCTCCAGCGGGTAAGTACAGGAATGAACGCGGTTTCGTTGAAAAAAAAAGACGACGAGGAAGGATGTTGTCAATCTGGAAAGGAGAGAGAAGCCCGGTCACGGAGCACGTACGGAGGGTGGTATCAAAGCGGACGGCGGAAAGGACCTCGTGAACAGTTACGTATTATCTGGATTTGCATCTAAAAGTCAAGCAAAGAGAGGCATACAAAAGAATGAATCTTGGAGCCAGACAGTCAGGGACTCAACTGGCCGTGGGACGGTATCGGCTGTTGGGTAACGGAGGCTTTGTTGAGGTGTTCTTTGTGCACGCGAAGCCTTGGGGATGCGTGCGAACAGGGAAAGGTGTGTTTGGTCTGGGTGTGAATGGGGGAATGGGGGGAAGCCTGCCGTGCCAGGTGAGGTGGTCTGAGCGAGCGGGCACCTTGGGGGATGGCTCAGATGGGCACCTGGGCAGCCTGGACTGTGGTCTGGTGGGCGCTGGAGGCATGGATGTTCTAGCGGAGGAAAGCGTGATCCATCCTCCCATCTGGAGAAGTGTTGCGACTGGATACCGTTCCTGTATTCTGATTGGCCGTGGGTGCTGATCCGGGGATGGTCGCATGCCCTTCGACACTGCGCTAAAGTCAAGTCACCCCCAATGACGTGCTACTTATCCCGTCGAGCCTGCCTTTAGGCTTATCAAGATAAATGATAAGGCCCTCAACTTCCTCCCTCTCAGACGTCACTGCATCCAGCCAACACACTTCAACTCCTCAAGAGGTTGAACAGGGATGCAAAAAACCTGTCTGAATTGAAGATTTGCATTGACGTGAGTATTCCCCCTTCCCCCCTTGTCGAGCCGATCTCACCGTGCGTCCTATCGAAGTCCCATTAGGCAAGTTTGATCAACAGCAGTTCATCTCATACACGAACTGCCTGGTTGGGAATGTTAACTGCAACGCAACAGAATGAATTGGAGGTGCTCGCGCGAGCAGATCTGTTCTGTTAAATATCTTTCAACTTTCCGTTGTCTTCATATGTTGCGGATCTTGACAGCCACGGTCGAATAGTACAGATTGCTCTCTTTGAAAACTCTTCGGTTCAAACTTCACACTTCCATTCCACTCTCGGTCACTGACCGCTGGCTATATGGGCCTCTTCTTACTACTTCTATGTAACAACACCCAACGTAGGCCCGCTCAAAACGAGGTAATCCATTCTCAGCTTGGGCGGCTGCTTTGGTATCTGCCATCCCATACAATCTCATTTCCATGCTTTTTTCCCTCCTCTCCCCAAACTCAGCCTTCCATTCTATCCAACTCACGGCGCTGCTTCCGCAGGATCCTCTTACTAGATGAACAGGAAGCACAATCGTTCAGCTCCAATGCCGGTGCAACCGTTTCAAGCGAATGCGAGACACTGGTTCATTGACCCAAGGACCCGCTCTCGAGCCGTTCTCCCGTCTTCCGTGCGGTCCGTAGTTCGGTTCGGTTCCTACCTGGCTGCCACATGACAACCCGATCATAATTCGCCTTCGTCCACCACTCATTCGTCTCTTGACGTGTCATCCACATCTTCAGCCGTGTCCGGTCACCCCCTTTCGATGCCATACAGGAGTCCACACTCCAACCATATACACAACAACTCCAACCTCCTATATCCGTTTAGTTACGAGAACCAAGCTTACCCCACGCTCTATGCAGCCGTGTAACTAACTGCCACCTACTTGACTTCGTTGAAGCTGCCAACGGCACGTCCTTCATGCCGGCTGTGACGTGGCAGCCCTCTCTCATCTTCTACTCTGAATGGAAGGTCCTGTTTTCACTTCTTAAGCCTGCAATGACCCGAATAGCGGCGACGAGAAGGGAGATCAGGAAAGGCTGGGTCACGACCAGCTTCAGGTATGTCAGCACGTTCATCGCATTGGAGGTGGTACGAGAGGGCTTCAGAACCGGTAACTATCGTCGACCATTTCCCTTTCGGCAGTTATCGCCAAGATTAATAATGGACACTTCCCAGGACACCAGAGACCAGAGGTTGCTTTTAACTGTCCGTTTTGCCCGCACCCTTTGATGAAGGCATTTCGGTGCTTCGAGTAGTAGCATTTGGAAGGCTTGGGTTATTGATCAGACGAACACCAGAAACGACATCTTCTAGTTCACAAGGTGCTTCGAACCATACACGATTCCAAGCGGAACTGGTGTTATTCTGCAGAAAGGGCGAGGCTAACAGTGTTACCCTGACGTTGGACTGCCCGTTAAACCCATGGACTTGGTTAGTCATTTCGGACATTAAAAAGTGAGCACGTTGAGCAGGGCTCTGATGGACGCTCAGACCGTATCGGGGTTGCCGTATATCAAGTTCTAAATCCCCATCTCCACACACATAACTTCCTCGTTCGCAAGACGACACTCGCACTTCCACGAATCCTAAACCACCGCTTGGTTGTTTCATATCATCCTTTCGTTTCTTGCCACGTCGACCATTGCGGCTCTGCGCTCTCAGGGACCCTCTAAAAGATGGTGGATTTTATGCAGGACGAACGTGCACGACATAGCGTTCGGGAATCAAAAGACTGACTGGTCTTCTATTCGCTCTTAGGGTGCGGAGTGACGATCCCAGCTTTAGGTAGGAACGCGTGCCGGGCGACTGACACCATACCGTCGCATGGTGCGGGCAGGACCAAGAATGCGGACACCCTCCCGATACCCACTGAGACTTTGCGTACATGCAGAGATGAGGAGAAGAAAGGGGGCCGGAATGCGGGGGCATCGAAAAGTCCCCGAGAAGTCTATGGGATTGAGGCTCTGCGGAGCGGTCGCCGTGACCGTTCAAACCACCATGAGGATCATGATGCTCCGGAGATGCTGTCGCGAAGCATAGTAAGACTGCCAATCAACAACACAGCAGTGATGCATTGGCACACCTACAAGCGAGTGCTATGGCAAAAGAGATGGACTGCTCTCATGATCAAGGTTTGGAGCCCCGTTTGGTGGGAAGAATACGTACTTGAGGCTTAAAATGAGGATATCCTGAAGTATAAATAGGATGAGCATTAGACAAGGAAGTGAAAAATGGCTAGTCACGTCGGCATCAGCCTTCAGAACCATCTTTGATACACTTGAGCAATCACTTTTGATACACTTGATAATCACTTGCTTTCAACAAGTCAAGAAAGAAAAAAACACCATGAACCAGACAACCCCGGATGACTCAATCCCGAGCTATGAGGACACTCCTCATAAGAACACCCCTTCCACCGCTTCACCTTCCACTGAGGACCATCCAGAAGACAATGAGGAGGATGCTCCCTTCTACGAGACCAAGGTAAGAAAAAACTCCCATAGCCACTCTCACTCTAGCCAAAAGCCTCATCTGATCAACAGGACAGTGACCCTCCCATCAGTTTCCCCAGCCAGGGGACCAGCGGTGTCGTGGACTCCACAGCGTCTACAGAGTTGTCAGGAGAGGATGAGAGCGAGGAAATGATCTGGTGAGTCACTCTCTTCCCCACCGTTCTGCTTATACTCTTCGATATATCTTGATGTTGAAGAAACAGAACCATGAGCTAACAATTTCCAGACACATACATCTCACGCCTGACACCAACAACTACCACGAAGGCACTCGAGTCCAACATTCAAGCAAGCTCACACTCGGACCGCGGTCAACTGTGAAAGTTGTTGGAAGACTTGTCCCTGATAAAGTCACGAACATCCCTCGCACACACGTACCCCTTCTCACTTTTCTTCTTTTTTTTTTTTTCCTTTCCACTGGAGAATATTTCCACGTTAGGAGGAATAACATCAGATTTGCTATACCCCGTTTCTTCATCTTCCCGTTTCTTCATCTTCCCGTTTCTTCATCTTCCCGTTTCTTCCATCTTCCCGTTTCCAGTTTCATCGTTCGTCCCTGTTTTCTCTTCTCCGTTTTCACTTTCTTCTCGTCTTCACGTACTTCCCCGTTCTTCTCAGCAATATCATCCCCTCCCCCCCCCTTATCAACTTTATTCATGCTTGCTTCTGCCAAACCCCAATTTTTGTTCTTATTCTGCTTTTATATGACGTGCTTATTTCTTGATGCGCAAATGTTATCCGTTCTTCGAGTTCAGCTTTGTTCGATGCTGTTTGGTCTAGTTCAATTTAGTTCAGTTCTGTTCAGTCCCATATACTCCAGTCCAGTACGGCTTGGTAGTTTGCAATCTACCCACTGGACTATGGAATATCGATAGCTTAGTTGGGCTTAACGTTCATTCTGTCTCCTGATCTGATCTTTTCAGAACCTTTACCTTAGCTAAATAACTATTCCAGGCAAAGAACACAATGAATCATTTTGCTTTTGGCCCCCTTAATGCCTTAATGCCAATTTGGCGTTCCACTGCGACCTCCCATACCTACATACATACATAACTTTTACGTTCGGTCATTTCCCCGTTAGCAGTATTTGGCTTTTGAGATTATACTTACCTTAATAGCGTAACGGCGGGAACTATTTGATAGTATATAGAAAAAAGAAAATTGCCCATGTACCAGTAGATGTAGAGTACAGAACATTCTTGTATCGGCCCACGATGTATGGATGAGATGAGGAAGGTGTAGTGTTTTAGTTCTTGTTTTATACAAACCAACTGAACCGACATATCATTCGGTACGTCGAATTTCGTTCTGGTTTTGGTTTCCAACTACCTACTCAAGTGACTTCTCCTCCTCCTCCTCCTCCTCCTCCTCCAAGTCGTAAAAATGAAGAAAATAAAGAGAACGAAGAAGGAGAATGAACACCCGGTGAAACGATAAGGAGAGAGGAAAAGAGGAGACGAGAGAAAAACACACACGATACAAGGAATTCGCTCGTCGTCACTGGCCCAGTTACGTAGGGAAGATGTTGGCGCGGGCGAATGAGTCGTTCCTCCTCGGATCATTCTGGTCATGGGCACGATATGTGTGGGTTAGAATTTTGCGGAGTCATGTGGTTGTGGGTTGGCAGTCGTTTCGTCTATGGGAGGAGTGATGGATGGGCAAGTTCATCAATGCAGTTATAATCCAAGTCTATTTGCCGCCCGTATGAGGCTGACAGGTATAATATATTATACTATATGCAAGAAAGGTGTAAAAGAGGATGCAAACTGGGTGGTAGACTTAGTGTCTGCGCAAGTCGATGCCGCTGCAAAACAGGCAATAAAAAGAATATTGATCACCTTGCGATCAAATCAACCTTAGTATCCCTCCCTTTTTTCAACTCCCGTCCTACGAATTACCACTCACTACTCGCTTCATTTCTCAACAACAATCCATACCCCATCTTATCCCACCTTCAAGTGTCCCATTTTTTTCTCCAGCTGCCAGTCCTACAAGGCGCTCAAATCCAACGGCACACTGCTTCCTCTGCCCGCGCGATACTTCCTCGGCCCACCGATGAACTCCCTGGGCTTCGGGAACGTCTCCTCACCCACAAACTTCCACCTTGGGTCCTGGACGATGTACCTCGCACTGCCGCCACCGGAATGCACTGGACTTGGAGACTTGTTTCCGCCTGTACCGTTCGGGGTAAGGATGAAGTTGCTAGGATCAAGCATGGACTTGATGACGGAGCCTGATCGTGCTGATCGAGTCGAGGGCGAGTGGGAAAGCGGAGGAGGAGCTGGGGCCGAAGATGGCGGCGGTGGTGGAGGAGGCGCGGGAGCGGAATGAGGAGGGCTCGGTGCTGCTGAACGAGGAGGCGCGCTGGGCGGCGGTGGCGGAGGGGGTGCTGCTGGTGAAGAGACGCTGCTCGCGGCGCGGATGGCGGCTTGAACAGCAATGTTCTGGGAGAGGTTGCTGGTTGACGAGGAAGGCGGTGGTGGAGGAGGCGGCTGCGAGCGTGATGGAGCCGGAGGTGGTCGCGGGGCCGCTGTTGGAGGCGGCGGGGG